GCCGACGCCGACGACGACGACGGCGACGACGACGGCGACGGCGACGGCGGCGGCGGCGGCGGCGGAGGAGGCGACGCGTCCTGGGCAGCTGCCCGTACCGCTCGCCACGGCGGCGCTCCTGCGGGCGCGGAGCGGCGCGGAGCGGCGGGGAGCGGGCGCCATCGGGCCCTCGCGGGCGCCCCCCTGAAGCCTTGAAGCCCTTTTGGGGCTCTACTTCGATCTCCTCGGGAGCGTCCTGGGTGCCTGCGAGGCTGTCCCAGGGGGCCTCCCGGGGCCTCCTCGTGCGCCCTGGATGCGTCCGCGGGACCTCTGGGCACGACCCGGCAGGGCCATCCCGGGCAGGGCCCTCGAGGACCGCCCTGGAGCGCAGTGGGACCGTCATGACCTGCATACCTTGACTTCCTCGAGCTCTCTTCGGGGCGTCCTGGGGCCTCTTTGAGCCGCTTGGCGACCTCACCGGGCTGCTGGGGATATCCACAGCGAGCGCGGAGACGCCAGGGAGGGCGTTGGGCACCGCCGAGGGGGTCGACCTCCAGCAGGGGCTCGTGGCCCAGCTGTTCAGCCCGGCCATCCATTTCCTTCCTAGGGCAGGTGTAGATCACATGTGGGCGCATAGGGATACGTAGGACGTGCTCAAAAATACCAGCATACACACATTCGTATGTATATGCATTCACGGACCTCGGGAGTCATTGCAAAGTTTGGCTGTCTGCGGGGGTTCTCCATTGAGGATTTGGGCTATACTGGGATCTTTGTGAGGCCGCGAAGGCGGCCTTGATCGCATGTTGGATTCATCTTGAGCCGCCTGGGCTCCCTCCTGGGCTATCATGGACGCGTCTTGGGCGCTTTATGGGGCCCCACAGGAGATTAGAAAAATTCCAAGCAGTCGGAATACAAATCACACCCCGATGACACACAGCAGCCATAAACCGCTCAAGCGGTCGAAAGCGAAAACACTCGGGAGCCGGTGTACCAAAAACCGAATGACAATTAAGTGATGAGTTTGGCGTGATGGCGCCCTCTTGGAGATCCTCTTGGGACCTTCTCGGAGCGGCTGAAAAGCTTCTGAAGCAATCTGACGAATTCTGGCTATGTCTTGAACAAGACTTTGCGGTCTCGGATCCTCTGGGCGCCGCCTTGAGGCCCACCACGGCGGCCTCCGTGACCCACCTTAGGATCGACAGGGCCCCCAAAAAGCCGAAAACGAGCTCCAGGGGGGCAAGATCTGTTACCGGGATGCTCACGGGCCCACCTCCGCGCGGGCCCCTGGGGAGCGAGGTGCCGAGGATGCTTGAGGGAACGCGAGCGGCAGCAGACTGAGCAGCAACACGGCAGGCGCGGCAGGCCAGAGTTCTTTAGGGGTTCATGCCAGCCAGGGCAGAGTGCTGCCCTGGGCAGAGCGTGGCCGCATCCAATCTTGAGGTAATTCAGCAGTTGGCTGCGTATAAGCCCCCCAGGATAATCCTCCTCCTCCTCATCCTCCTCCTCCTCCTCATCATCATCATCATCAGAATCATCAGCAGCAGCAGCAGATCATCATCATCACCATCATCATCATCGTCATCATCAGCATCATCATCACCATCATGATCATCATCAGCAGCAGCATCATGGTCATCACCATCACCACCACCACCACCACCACCATCATCATCATCACCATCACCATCAGCATCATCATTATCATCATCATCAGCATCATCATCACCATCATCTTTATCAGCATCATCATCATCATTATTATCATCATCACAATCCTCATCATCATCCGCATCATCAGCACCATCATCAGCATCATCAACTCAGCATCAGCATCATAATCATCAGCAGCATCATCATCATCATCACAACCATCATCATCAGCAGCATGGTTCAGCATCATTATCACAATCATCATCATCATCATCATCATCATCATCATCATCATCATCATCATCATCATGATCATCATCGTCAGCAGCAGCAGCGGCATGGTCATCATCATCATCAGCATCATCATCAGCATCAGCATCATCATCAGCAGCATCACCACCATCATCATCATCAGCATCAGCATCAGCATCAGCAGCATCATCACCATCATCAGCATCATCAGCATCGTCAGAATCATCATCATCGCCATCATCAGCAGCAGCACCATCATCATCATCAGCATCATCAGCATCACCATCATCATCATCATCATCATCATCATCATCATCATCCTCATCCTCATCGTCACCACCACCACCACCACCACAACCACCAACATCATCGTCGTCGTTGCCATCGTCATCGCCATCGTCATCAGCATCAAAATAAGCATTGCCATCAACATCCTCATCATCATCAGCAGCATCCGAATCAGCAGCATCATCAGAATCTGAATCACCAGCATCATCATCATCAGCAGCAGCATCATCACACTCATCAACACCCACTACCACCACTCTCATCAATGATCCTGCTCCTCCTCCGTTCGCCTCCTCCTCCCTCCTCCATCCATCCCCCCTCCCCCTAACCACAACATGTAAGAGTCGTGCGGGTCAGGAGGCGAACGAGGCGAAAGGCCGAGCGAGGACGAGAAATCGCTCTGGCCTGCCTCCTCCTCCTCCTCCTTCTCCTCCTCCTCCTCCTCCGCGAACTTCCTCTTCGTATTCGCCATCCTCGTCGGCCTTCCACCTCCTCCTCCTCCTCCTCCTCCTTCTCCTCCTCTTCCTCCGGCTCCTCCTCATCATCACCACCACCAGCAACATCGTCAATATCATCCTCCTCGTCGTCTTGCCGCCAGCGTCACCGATCAGACGTACGTCTCCAAAATGGCAGTGGGCAGTGGCCCTAAGAGCTCCAAGGAATACGACGGTTGAGTCCATTAAGATGTTCACCCTGTGAGGTGCCGTCGCTGTCTAAAAGTATGACTCGACACCAAACACAGGCACTCGTCCTCAAGTTCCTCCTCCTCCTCCTCCTCCTCCTCCTCCTCCTCTTCCTCATTATCCGCCTCCTGATGCGTCTCATTTCCCTCCGACATCGTCTTCCTCCTCCTCCTCTGCGACCTCCTCCTCCTCCACAACCTCCCCCTCCAAACCCGTCTCATGTCCCTCCGTCACCGTACACCTCAGCCTCCTCCTCCTCCGCCTCCTCCTTCTCCTCCTCCTCCTCCCCTCCTCCTCCCCGCCCGCCCCCCCTGCCCCCCGCCTTTCACACCCATCCCCGCCACCTCGTTGTCTGCCTCCACCTTATCCTTCCCGTTGAATTTCCCGCATCATTGCCCTCCTTCCTCCGTTTCCCAACGATCCTCATCCTCATCCTCTTCATTATTACTATCTTCCACCATCCCTCCTCGTCCCCACCCTCCTGCCCATCCTCATTCTCGCCCCCTCCCCACTCTTCACCCTTGCCCCTCCTCCTCCTCCTCCGCCTCCTCCTCCTCACCAACACAACCATCACAATCAGCATCATCATTATCATCATTATCATCAACGTGGTGGTCACCGTCGTCGTCGTCGTCGTCGCCGTCCTCCCCCTGGCGGGCCTGGCGGCAAAGAGCAGCAGAACGAGGCTGCCCGCCATCCTCGGGGGGGGCACCGCCAGGGGCGGGCACCGGAGGGAGGGGGCGGGAGAGAGGATAGGGAGGGAAGGGAGAGGAGGAGGAGGAGGAGGAGGAGGATTAACGCAACACGCACGCACCTAATGATGGTCTAACGTGAAGAGGGGGAGGAGAGGGAGGAGGAGGAGGAGTAGGAGGAGGAGGAGGAGGAGGAGGAGAGGAGAGGAAAGGAAAGGAAAGGAAAGGAAAGGAAAGGAAAGGAAAGGAAAGGAAAGGAAAGGAAAGGAAAGGAAAGGAAAGGAAAGGAAGGAAAGGAAAGGAAAGGAAAGGAAAGGAAAGGAAAGGAAAGGAAAGGAAAGGGAAAAAAGGAAAGGAAAGGAAGGAAAGGAAAGGAAAGGAAAGGAAAGGAAAGGAAAGGAAAGGAAAGGAAAGGAAAGGAAAGGAAAGGAAAGGAAAGGAAAGGAAAGGAAAGGAAAGGAAAGGAAAGGAAAGGAAAGGAAAGGAAAGGAAAGGAAAGGAAAGGAAAGGAAAGGAAAGGAAAGGAAAGGAAAGGAAAGGAAAGGAAAGGAAAGGAAAGGAAAGGAAAGGAAAGGAAAGGAAAGGAAAGCAGGAGGAGGAGGAGGAGGAGGAGGAGGAGGAGGAGCGGGAGGACGACGACCAGCTCCGTCCCATCCCTCGCTCTCCTTCACTCGCGCTGCCCCTCCGTGGAGGGAGGGAGAAGTCAGGGGGAGGAGGATCGTTTGACCGCTCAGGGTACAGCAGTCGGAAGATCACACCTGCCTGCAGCTGCATGACCCGGACTGGCCGAGATCTACAGCGCGCCCTGGCCACGGGGCCACGCCGCCGCCTCCTCACACGCAGGGGGGCGCCTTCACCAGGACACAGTGCGCAATCGCACGTCGCGCGAGGCAGGGAGGCGGAGGAGGAGGGAAGGGGGGGGTAGCTACAGGGAGCGGGGGCCAGGCTCGAGGGCACGGGTGTCCGCGCGCGTCTGCCCATCAGGAGGTCATCCCACGCCCCAGGGGGGCCCTCGTGAAGCCCCTGGGGACCCCTGGAGAACTCCCGGAGGGGGCGGAGATAGCTGCAGTGGAGACGGGGAGGGGACCGCAGCTCGGGGAGATCCAGGCGAAGCATAGCCACGAGAGCGCGGGTCACGAGGAGCCCCTTCGCCAGAGGTCCCCCCAAGTGCAGCACCTTCCCCAGGCGAAAATCCCGAGCATAAAAAACAGGAGGAGCTCCCTCCAAAGCGGCATGGCTGCCCTCAAACATCGGGCCACCAGCTGCAAGTCTCCGCGCGTTCTGCCCACACGGAGACAGCTGGAAGCCCTCGGGGGATGAAGACCTCCGTATAAAGAAAAAGGGAGGAAGATAGAGAGAGAGAGATTAAAAAAACACAAAAAAAAATATCCCGGCAAGGCAACCTAACAGCCATGTGTAGGACCTGGCCGGGGCAGCCGGCCGCCCTCCCCTCCTGCTCGTCCTCCTCCTCCTCCTCCTCCTGCTCGTCCTCGTGCTCCTCCTGCTCGTCCTCTTTCTCCTGCTCCTCCTCCTCCTCCTCCTCCTCCTCCTCCTCCTCCTCCTCCTCCTCCTCCTCCTCCTCCTCCTCCTCCTCCTCCTCATTTTCTCCTGCTCCTCCTCCTCCTCCTCCTCCTCCTCCTCCTCCTCTTCCTCCTGCTCGTCCTCGTTCTCGTCCTCCTCGTCTTGCTCGTCCTCCTCCTCCAGGTGCTCTCTCCTCCTCCTCCTCCTCCTCCTCCTCCTCCTCCTCCTCCTCCTCCTCCTCCTCCTGGTGGTCCTCGTTCTCCTCCTCCTGGTGCTCTCCCCCCCCCTCCTCCTCCTCGTCCTCCTCGTCCTCCTCCTCCTCCTCGTCCTCCTCCTCCTCTTCCTCCTCCTCCTCCTCCTCCTCCTCCTCCTCCTCCTCCTCCTGGTAGTCCTCCCCCTCCCCTCCTCCTCTTCCTCCTCCTCTTCCTGGTCGTCCTCGTTCTCGTCCTCCTCGTCTTGCTCGTCCTCCTCCTCCTGGTGTTCTCTCCTCCTCCTCCTCCTCCTCCTCCTCCTCCTCCTCCTCCTCCTCCTGGTGGTCCTCGTTCTCCTCCTCCTGGTGCTCTCCCCCCCCCTCCTCCTCCTCGTCCTCCTCCTCCTCCTCCTCCTCGTCCTCCTCCTCCTCTTCCTCCTCCTCCTCCTCCTCCTCCTGGTAGTCCTCCCCCTCCCCTCCTCCTCCTCCTCCTCCTCCTCTTCCTGGTCGTCCTCCTCCTCCTGGTCGTCCTCCTCCTCCTGCTCGTCCTCCTCCTCCTCCTGCTCGTCCTTCTTCTCCTGCTCCTCCTGCTCCTCGTCCTGCTCCTGCTCGTCCTCGTCCTCCTGTCTTGCTCGTCCTCCTCCTCGTCGTGCTCTTGCCCCTGCTGAAAGTGTGGTCCAGGAATGGGAGTTCTGGGAAGTCGAAGAGCACGAAGTTGCCTACAGTTGGCTACGGGCATTCAAAATGTGGCCCGGGAGTGGAGTTCTGGGAAGTCGAAGAGCACGAAGTGGCCTACAGTTGGCTCCGGGCATCCAAAATGTGGCCGGGAAGGAAAAAGTTCTGGGTGGGAACTCGAAAGCACGAAGTGGCCTACAGTTGCTCCGATTCAAAATGTGGCCGGGAATGGAGTTCTGGGAACACGAAACTCACGAAGTGGCCTACATGGCTCCTCGGCAATTCAAAATGTGCCCCGAGAAATGAGTTCTGGGAAATCGCAGAGAGCACGAAGTGGCCTACATTGGCTCCGGGCATCAGAATGTGGCCCGGGAATTCGGGAAGTCGAAGAGCACGAAGTGACTGTTGGAAGTTCTGAAGTCGAAGAGCACGAAGTGTGTGACTGTTGGCTTAAAACGACTTCTGCGGCACCCTGTCCGGCACCCGCCCAGACCCCCCTGTGGAGTGATCTGTGAGCTCTTTTGAGACCACTAGAAACCTATCAGTCTACGCTGTTAGGTAACAAAGGAAGAGATGACTCGCGGGACGAACCGGCAAAAGCGCGTGCTGCCGCGGGCTCCCGGCTGTGAGCGCAGCCCGGCGAAGGAGAGGAGAAGGAGAGGGAGAGGCGGCGCGCAGCTGGCACAGGGCCCGCGAGACGCGGCAGGAGGACGGGCAGGCGGAAGGGGACGCAGGAGAGGCAGCGCGCGGGGGGCAGGGAGAGGGGGAGAAAGAGGTGAAATGGAGCAGAAGGGGCGAAGGGTCAAGTCGGGCGTGTCCCCCTACAGGGGGATCTTCGACGAAAAAATAAAATTATCCCGGCAAAGCAACCTAACAGCGATGTGTAGAAGCATATCTGAAAGCATTCCCCTTAAGATTCAGATGAAAATCCAGTTGTAGAATTCTGCTGTTCTCGCAGTCGTAGTCGCATTCGCGATGACAGTCGCAGCGGCAACGGCAGTCGCAGTCACAGCCTCAGCCTCAGCCTGCCTCAGCCTCAGCCTGCCTCAGCCTCAGCCTGCCTCAGCCTCAGCCTCAGCCTGCTTCAGCCTCAGCCTCAGTCTGCCTTCAGCCTCGGCCTCAGCCTCAGCCTGCCTCAGCCTCAGCCTGCATCAGCCTCAGCCTCAGCCTCAGCCTGCCTCAGCATCAGCCTGCTTCAGCCTCAGCCTCAGCCTGTCTCAGCCTCAGCCTCAGTCTGCTTCAGCCTCAGCCTCCTCCTCCTCCTCCTCCTCCTCGTCGTCCCCCTCCTCGTCCTCCTCGTCCTCCTCCTCCTCCTCGTCCTCCTCCTGGTGCTCTCCCCCCCCCTCGTCCTCCTCGTCCTCCTCCTCCTCCTCCTCGTCCTCCTCCTCCTCTTTCTCTCCTCCTCCTCCTCCCTCCTCCTCCTCCTTCCTCCTCCTCCTCCTCCTTCTCCTCCTCCTCCTCCTCCTCCTCCTCCTCCTCCCCCTCCTCCTCCTGTTAGTCCTCCTCCTCCTCCTCCTCCTCCTCCTCCTCCTCTTCCTGGTCGCCCTCGTTCTCGTCCTCCTCGTCTTGCTCGTCCTCCTCCTCCTGGTGTTCTCTCCTCCTCCTCCTCCTCCTCCTCCTCCTGCTCCTCCTCCTCCTCCTCCTCCTCCTCCTCCTCCTCCTCCTCCTCCTCCTCCTCCTCCTCCTCCTGGTGGTCCTCGTTCTCCTCCTCCTGGTGCTCTCCCCCCCCCTCCTCCTCCTCGTCCTCCTCCTCCTCCTCCTCGTCCTCCTCCTCCTCTTCCTCCTCCTCCTCCTCCTCCTCCTCCTCCTCCTCCTCCTCCTCCTCCTCCTCCTCCTCCTCCTCCTCCTCCTGGTACTCCTCCCCCTCCCCTCCTCCTCCTCCTCCTCTTCCTGGTCGTCCTCCTCCTCCTGGTCGTCCTCCTCCTCCTGCTCGTCCTCCTCCTCCTCCTGCTCGTCCTTCTTTTCCTGCTCCTCCTGCTCCTCGTCCTGCTCCTGCTCGTCCTCGTCCTCCTGGTCTTGCTCGTCCTCCTCCTCGTCGTGCTCTTGCCCCTGCTGAAAATGTGGCCCAGGAATGGGAGTTGTGGGAAGTCGAAGAGCACGAAGTTGCCTACAGTTGGCTACGGGCATTCAAAATGTTGCCCGGGAATGGAGTTCTGGGAACTCGAAGAGCACGAAGTGCCCTACAGTTGGCTCCGGGCATTCAAAATGTGGCCCGGGAATGGAGTTCTGGGAACTCGAAGAGCACGAAGTGGCCTACAGTTGGCTCCGGGCATTCAAAATCATGCCCAGGAGTGGAGTTCTGGGAACTCGAAGACCACGAAGTGGCCTACAGTTGGCTCCGGGCATTCAAAATGTGGCCCGGGAATTGAGTTCTGGGAAGTCGAAGACCACGAAGTGGCCTACAGTTGGCTCCGGGCATTCAGAATGTGGCCCGGGAATGGAGTTCTGGGAGGTCGAAGAGCACGAAGTGTGTGACTGTTGGCTTAAAACGACTTCTGCGGCACCCTGTCCGGCACCCGCCCAGACCCCCCTGTGGAGTCATCTGCTGCTCTCTTTTGAGACCACTAGAAACCTATCAGCAAAAGCTGTTAGGTAAATACTCAAAACATACTCCAAAAAGGTAAAACAAATACTCAAAAAATAGTCCCCAGACGATTTTTCCCTACCTAGGCTCTGCCTAGAAGGGTTCTTACTCTCTTAGCTTAAAGGGGCCGGGCAGTGGAAAGCGCCCCGGGCGGTTCCCCCAGTCCCCTGGGAGCGGTTCCCCCTGTCCCCTGGGAGCTTTAGCTTTAGCTTTAGCGTTAGCTTTAGTTTTAGCTTTAGTTTAGCTTTAGCTTAGCTATAGCTTAGCTTTAGTTTTAGCTTTAGCTTAGCTTTAGCTTAGCGTTTAGCTTAGCGTTTAGCTTAGCGTTTAGCTTAGCCTTTAGCTTAGCCTTCAGCTTAGCCTTTAGCTTAGCCTTGGCTTAGCTTTAGGTTGGCTTTAGTTTAGATTTAGCTTAGCTTTAGCTTAGATTTAGCTTAGCTGTAGCTTAGCTTCAGCTTAGCTGTTGCTCAGCTTTAGCTTAGCTTTAGCTTAGCTTTAGCTTAGTTTTAGCTTATATTTAGCTTAGCTTTAGCTTAGCGTTAGCTTAGATTTAGCTTAGCGTTAGTTTAGCTTTAGCTTAGCTGTGGCTTAGCTTTAGCTTAGCTTTACTGTTACTACTAATGCTGCTTTCCTAGGGGGTCCAACTCCTAGGTAGGGTCGCACTGGGATAATCTTACTATTTTTGCATACTCCTCCTGTAGAGGGACGGGCCCGACTTCCGCGAAGGGGCGAGGGAGGAGGAGCAGGGGGGAAAGAGGAGGGGAGGCGGGGAAAGCAGCCGCGGGCAGACGAGCCGGGCCAGAGGCCGGGAGGGAGAGAGAGGGCCGCCCGCGGCGAGGGTGCGGCCACGGGTGCTGGCAAGGTCTGTCACGGGATATCAGAGCTCATGGGTGGCCCCCAAGAGCGCCTCAGGAGCGCCAGCTCCGAGAGAGCCTGACAGGTTCCGACACGGCCCAGAAGCGCCCCAGTACGCCCAGGACGGGCTCTCGACGGCCACGGACGCCTCCAAACCCGACATCCCCCACCCACCCCCCACGCGGCCCTTCCCTCCGGCCATCCCAGCTGTTTCGCCCTCGCGGCCCTTCCCCCCTCGCAGAACTTTCCCCTCCCCCCATCCCGGCTCTTCCCCCCCCCCGCGCCCCGCCCTCCTCCCCCCTCCCCCAGCGCGGCCCTTCCCCCCGCCGTCCCAACCGTTCCCTCCCCCCTCGTCCAGTTTGCCCCCGCCCCCCGTCGACAGCGGCGCCTGCAGGGGATCCGCGCCAGGTGGAGCAGCTGACCGCGCTGGGCACGCAGACTGGAAGGCAAAAAGGCTGCGCCGCGGGCAGACCCTGCCGCACACCCGCCCCTCACTCTCTGCCAATCTCGCTTACCCTCCTCATATGATTTGCTTCACCTGCTCCTCATCCTGCTCGTTATCCTCCTCCTCATCCTGCTCATCCTTTTCCTCCTCCTCCTCCTCCTACTCCTCCTCCTCCTCCTCCTC